AAAACGACGTAAGTCGAATTTACCTGTCTCCGAATCTACTTATCACTAGGAAAGCATTTTAAATAATATATGGTTAATAAAAATCTATTTTAAGCTTACAAACAAATAAATTTTAGTTTTTAATATAGTACAAAAAAAATAATCTAAATTTACGAATGCATGTACTGTAAATACAGTACATACTTGTATATATTTTAATATGATTTTATGTGCTTTAAACGTTTATCTAGTGATATTACGACTTCAATATTTGTGGCGGACAGACGAAAAGTCAAATAAAATGACTTAAACTTGATTTTTATTTTTCCATATACTTTTTTAACAAGCGACGTATAATCGGGAACGACGTAACTCGAAACGACATAAGTCGAGGTATGCCTGTATTAGCTTTTATAAAAAGGATCAACATATTTTTAAAAATAATACTAGTAATAAGTATTTGTAACACCATTCATATATTGTACCTAACCAAATTGTAAAATTCCAGAAAACTGGCTATTTTTTGAAACTAGCTAGTTTTGAATTTGTCAGGCTGTAGTACAGCTGTGAGGCCTTTGTTTTGATTTCTGTTATGTGTGTCAAATTACACTATTTTCAATGTGATTGTTGTTGTATACAGGTAATTTCCTCACAGTTAAGGTATTTGTCAGACTTTATTACAATTTTCTTTTATACCATATCTTTGCATATTGTCTGGCATGTCAGTCCATCCAGGAGAGACCATGAAATCAGATATTTCAGTATGATAAATACTGGCATGCCGATTTAAGTGAGGTTATACATCCCTCTCCATAGGACACATGAAATTCAGAGTCCCTTTTATTTTTATTCTAAAACTGTGAAAATATTAGCATTACATCAAAAATTATGATTATATATTTAATTTCTGTTGTTTGTCTTCTTTCTAACAATGTAAAATATTGTGGACTGCTGAAAGTGCTTTTTTGTGTTTATTTTATTGTAAGTTGATCCAAAAATGCAAAAATAAAATATTGAATTTCAGAAACTCACTGTAAATTATCTCAACTTACACCAATTAACATCCCTTTGTGTGAATGAGAGGAATGTATTATCTTTCAGGATCAGGGTAGATTATCAGTGCAGTCCACACTGACTGACTACTAATACTAATGTCAATAAGACACTAATTGTTTTATTGCACTGTAAACAAAAACTTTCTCCCCTCAGATAAATTACAATGTTATTTTATTGCACGTGAAATTTAATGTTTTCTTTAATGTTTATTTAACAACTAGTTTTATTAGATCTGATTAATTTTATTTTTTAGTCACAAGTTTAACTGGCATGCCAGTAACCCTGAAGTTTTTAGCATGCTGGTCAATCTGCAAAAATATGGTAACTATGTCTAAAAGGCAGAAAAAAGAAATGCTTTTTAAGTGGATTAATACAGATGTTAAATAAAATTATGTTCTGAACATTTCTTTGTTTAATTTTCACTATATGTGACTATCCTATATTTTAAAATGATTAATAATAATCAGACAGACCCTGCTTTGGAGTGTATTAATTTGTACCTGTTATATACAATTTCATTCTATACTTTCCATTGTTTATTTTAACTCTATTATTTAGCCTATGTCCAGAAAACTGGAAAATCCAGAAATCAGACAATTTCCAGCCCCAAGCATGTGGATATTTGATCGATTATTGTATTTCCATAAACTGATATAACTTATTTTTAATTCTCTTATATCAGTATTATCTATTTAGGCAAATGTTTAAACAGAGTTTAAGGTTTAAGATACCACAACTATTCTTATCTGTTTTATATTCGTAAAACACGTTTTAAACTCAACAAAAACACTCAGTTTAAACTGTCAAGGATAATAAGTTCAAAAATAATTTTTGCTTATTGTTCAATAATCAAATTAATAAATTTTATTATAGATTTGTTAAAGAAATTATACAATTAATATTATTTAAGTTTTTATTTGTACAACTATACTAGTTGTAAAATATTTTGTTATTTTAATTTTTTGCTAATCTCTTGGTTTTGGGGATATGATTATTCCTTATGTCAATTAAATATGTAAAAATGTTTTAAATTTTTATATCTTAATAATTATAAATAACTAGCTGCACATGCCCAGCATTGCTTGGACTTTTTTCGGGGGGTGATGAGGTTGGGTTAACAGGAGAGGGTAATAAAAAACAATGGTCTTAATAACTAAAATATACATTCATTCACCCGAGTATTTACAATAATGAAACTACCAAACACAAAAACATTGTTTGGGACTAGGTTAAAAGAAAATGAACTTTACAGGTGATTGGGATGGGGACCCACACATTATTTTTTCTAGTGTGTCAAAGAATATTCATGCCAATTGAACGGTATGGAATCCTTTACCCAACAATCATACATATATACATATTTTGACTTTTCTATATCATATATGGATAATAATTGTTAAACTACTATAAGTGATAACACTTATAATTTCACAGTAATGCTTGTTAAGTATATAGAAAGTATTATTTTTGCTATTACAATAGGCTTTCAATTTAACAAACAAAAAATTTAGAATCTTTTTTCTTTTATTTGTAAATAGAGCTTACTGAAAGATTGGTTCAATAAGCAACATTAGTTAAATAGAAACACTCAATTAATGACATTGTAGTTTTTTGATGTAGTTAATTATAGTTTGTCTTGTCAAATTTATTTTAACATTTTTAACAGACATTTTAGTGGCATGTACATCATAATAATATTTTATTCACACACACTATGAGAACATTTTAATACATCCTGTACACAATAAGTTTGTTATTGGTATTAATATTTGTTTTTAAAATACATTTGCTTTAACAGACTTTCGGCAACAGTAAACACCCCTTCTCCCAGTTAGTTTGTTAAATCAAGAGTCTGCTGTATATATACTCTATGTCTAAAGGAATAAAGTTTTAGTTGTCATCCTTGAAGTGATAGACAAACAAAATAAATTTAATGAAATTGTTTGCTATATATGAAATATGTAAAAATATGTAAGAATCATAAATCCTGGATTTATTACAACAAATTAATCAAAAATTAATGGCATGTACATAATAATAATAATATTTTATTATGATGTACATGATGTAAATAATATGATGTATACAATATAAAAAATGTTTTTACATAAATCTAGATTAGCATGTAGATAAATCCTGTCTTCTATTACGTTAATTGAAGTTTTACATTATTCAAATGAAAAAAAACCTTCCTTCTAAAGTCAAATTTTCTCTAATTTTTGTGTTTTCACTTGTAAAAATGAACAAAATGATACAGAAATAAAAGTATTTCAATGATACATTCCAGACAAAATAAATTATACACATGTAGAGTAATTTCAGTTAAATGTGAAAACAAACATTAATGATTTAGATTTTGCTTTAATATAATCAGTCAGAATATAACTGTTAAACTTGAAAAAAAAAAGCCTTAATCTATAATTTGGAAAAACATGAAGGTAGAATAAAAGAAATCAAAAACTATGAGTTATGATAATATATTAAAATAATATACAAATTTTAAAACAGGAAGAAATAAGTAAACTATCAATTGGTTTATTGATTAAAAATAATTCATTGCTGGAAAAAAGTGCATTGTAATAACTATAAATACAGTAATATCTCGACTTATGCAAACCCAGAGTTACGTGATTTTCAAGTCTCATCAATTCGTCTTTTGTTTGAGCGCCAAGCAAATCTCGATTATTCAATCCCCCCATACTATTGTTCGGCTTACATGTTCAGACATGTCGCACGGAATCGACACATAGCCACAATTTATTTTGTGTTATTTATTTCTGTGTTATATCTACGGAGACTTGAGAGACTCTATGTGGTGATTTCTTCTAACCGTGGACGAATCAAAAGACAAGATAAGATTAACAAGAACATTTATTAGCTTACATACATCCGACTTGGGTTTTACACAAATTGAGAAATTATACCCCAAAAATACAACCTGACTGGATAAGAAAGAATAAATGACATATCAAATATTTTATATTTTTTAAAAGAAAAATAGATGGGAACTGAGTTTTTCCAAGATAGATTAGATTAGATTATAGCAATTTTAAATTTTAGGACAATAAAAAAAAAAAAATACTTTGTGACTATATTAAAAAATATTTGTAGAAATAAACACAATTTGATTGAATTATTATTTACTTATAAAAGTTTTATTATGTTAAAACTTATTTTCATGTAGAGCAATATGTATTTTAATATTCTACTTACCTTCAATAAGATTTTCAGAATTATTATTTTCAGAACTTGTACTAGTTACATAAGGGTTAACATAGATTCGTGACTGTCCCAAACTAGGTAAATGTCTGTTGTCATTATTTTGTACTTGCTGAAATCTTGGATAAGTTTCAGGTGTGGAAGGGATATATAATCTGTTAGACAAGGGAACATTTGTTACTTTAGATGATGATGGCTGACTGGAATCACCAACATTTCTCTGTGCTCCAATGCTAGTAGATGATGCTGATTGTAGAGGAGATGATGATCTTAATAATGGCCCAATATTTTGGTTTGATGTCTGATTTAATGGTGATAACCTATTGGAATTTTGTGTGTGATTCTGTGATGCTTTAGCACATTTTTGGGCTAAACTGGTTGGCTGCACAGGTTGCTGAACTTCTCCGGTGTTTCCCCCTTTTCGCTGAAAGGCAGGATTTTTTTTACGAGGTTGATGATTTATAGTTGTCCATACATTAACAACTAAATGAAATAAATTTTTTATAAGTTTAAAATTTAATATTAATGTTGATTATGTTATTTATAATATATTAAATTACGTAAACTAAAAATTTTTTACTTACTGGGAAGATTTGGTGGTGTTTCTTTTTTAACGTATTTTCCAGCAACACCATCACTTAAATATTTTAAATCTTTCTTTTTAGATAACATCAGAAATTTTATATCAGTTCATCTTCTAATCTATACTAAGAAAAATTATTTATATATTAACAAGTAAGTAATGGAAATCCTCAAAAACATTCAATCCGAATGTAAAATATATTTCTAACTTACATTTTTGTTAATAATGCTATCAATAACAAGATAATCTAAAATATATCAATTACTTCATGTAAGATAACGTATTCTGTATGACAACTTTCAAAATACATCAACTCCATGTAATATCAGGAGAAACAAACTCTACGATTGTAGGAGTTGATGCTTTTTATTTGGTTAAATGTTTTTCAGGATGTCTCCATCTCATCAGAGGTTCAAAGTTTGATCTTTGTGGGTCTGATTTAACCAAATAAAAAGCATCGACTCCTATAAATCATCTTCATTTGTATTTCACCTGATATTCTATATGATGTGCTATAACAACAGTAATAATAATAATAAGGAATAATTATAAAATTATTTGTACCTTAGTTAATTATAGATATTATTATTAACAAGTTGAAAGGTCCAATGCAGGCATTGGGCATACTAAATTACAAATAAAAATAATAATATATCGAGTATTATACTGTAAAATTTATTTAAGTGTAATTTATATTGTTATTTTAAGTATAATTTATATTAATTTAAATAATAGCTAAAGGAGCCCCTAGAGGCCATTTTTGGTGTACCGTGACAGAAAATGACCATTTTTTCAGCTTTATATAGTGGATAATGTTAATATATCTCAACATTTGCTACATTAACATATTTATATCAAAATTTAAAATAGTATGTTAAATGATCAAAAATTTACTATTGGAATATATAATAATGCTGAGACATTTAGTATTATTATTTTACTTATATTCATTAAAATATTATTTAACGTAAAAATTTCAAATATTTTTAGAATTCAAATAAATGATAACAATTCAAGCCTCTTCCAGCAGAAATTTGATAAGTAAAATTTCTGCTGGGAGAGACTTGAATTGTTATCATTTATTCAATTTGCAAGTTAACAAGAATTCAAATATTTGTATTTGTAGAATACAAATATTTGAATTCTTATTAACTTGCAAATTGAAATTTTAGTTTTTTGTAGAATACAAAGAACTAAAATTTTTCAAAGTCTATATAATAATTGATATTTTTAAAACACATATATTAACAATTGCCAATAAAATAAAATTTTTAACTTTTTTTGTATAGAAACATTAGATTTGCTGGAAAATCATTTCCATCAATTTTAATGGTGAGAATTATAGAACAATTCCCAAATTTTCCAAATAAGAACCAAATAAATTGAATTAAAAAAAACAGAACAGAGTAATTAAATAACATAACTCCATGTTATTTTTGTTCATTATTCTACATTATATATCATTTTAATGTTATCAGTGAACAATGTATGTCTTTGTTCTTCTGTTTTCTCCCCTAATGCCTTAATTAACAATTTTCACACTTAGTAATATGAATTTCCCCCCCTTTCAAATTACACCACCACATACCATTAAGCCTCTTTTCATTCTTAGGTTCTATTATGAAACAATAAAATATAAAATAAAAAATTGAATGCAAATCTACAAAATTACAGCTAAAGTGAAAGATTATAGTGACTAAAATGTTTCCTTTTTTTGTTAAAATGCTGTATAAAATTTCTTAGTTTCATTCTTCTACCAGAAGAGTGAATACAAAAAACATTGGCAATATGTATGTTAATGCTATGCACATTATTCTCAGTTAATTTCAGTTATATAGAGAAACTTGTCTATGGTAGTAATGCAGCATATAGCTATGACATCATTATCCCATAGTCACTTTCTTGATGCACGTAAAGCACTCCAGAAGACAATCGCCTGCCTAGGAACAGAGGAATTATGCATCTGAAAAGAGGCCTTCCAACAATGAAACCCTACGGGTAATATCCAAATCTACAATTATGTAATTATGTTATCCAATTGTGGAATGATGTGCCAATAGGTATGTTCTTTTATCCATTTAAAACAAAAATCCATATAATAAGGATGCATATATATATATATATAAGTTCATATGCATTACATGCATTTGTATTTAACCCTTATTTGAAAGATTTCTGGCCTATAACACATTATGCAGTAGTTTGTAATTTTGTGTTTACTTGTTTTCATTAAAAAATTTCAGAATTTTGCCTAATATATAATTAAATGCAATATTTTATAATCATTATTATACATCACACAACTATTTGACACTGAGGTAAGACATTATCCAAAAGGAAAACAAGTAAAGTACAATCTTCTGTTATAAGTTCTGACTGTCCAGCTGGATATGTATATTCAGCAATTAACTTAGCACATCCAGAATAAGACCTTACAAGTTCTGCTATAAAGATGCTTCTACATCACACATTTTCAGTTATATTTATTCTTAAAAAAATCCAGTAACAAGTTGCTAACTTTCCCAACAACATTTAAAACTGCATATGGAACCATCTGTTATGATATTTTATTTAAAAAACTTTTTATATTTTTAATTATTATAAAGTAGCATAATGCTTAATTTTGAGAACAGAAATGGGTTTTATAAAAAATTGTAAATGCTAACAACAAGTAAAATCATCATTAAGAATGACCCTACTTAAGATATAAGACACCACCCACTTTATCTCCCCACTCCCTTGACCTTTAATCACCAAAATTTAATAGCATCAATCCCCCCTAATAAACAAGCCTCCCTGCAAAATTTCAGAAATTGTTGATGAAAAGCACAGGAGTTATTAAGTTTCAAAGAGGGTGAACAAAATCATGCCCCCACATACATTAATATTCTTATATATACAGAAAAACCCAATTTTTTTTTTTTTTTTTTCATTTCTCCACATTTCAAGGTGTCCAAAAATGTAAAAATCTTGGAAGGAGGGTCATTTTTTGACCAAATGTCATACTTTCCCTCTGTTATATATAACAGAGACAGGAAAGTAATAGTATAAAATATAAAAATAATTGCACACTATTTTGTTGTTGTGTATGTAATAAGTATTTTTACTAAACATAATGTTTTTCCTTTTCCATTGATACAAAAATATAAGAATTATTTCTATTTGATTATTATTGGTATTTCAATATACATTAATAAATAAACTTACTTGGAAAAATGATATATGGCCTTGCCTAGTATATATAATTCCTATAAAATGAATGATGATTCAAGAGAATGATTCATATATTCTTGAAAATAAATATTCAAAATTGGATTTCAATAATTTAGTTTCTAGATATCAAAATACAAGTTATAGGTTGGCAAGATACATATTGAATCAATCAAATAAATAATATTTATCTAACAGAAATCATATACAATATTTACATTAATTATATAATTATGATATAATAAATAAAGTGATTAAAAAATAAAACATTCTAAAATAAAAGTAAATAGACAAAGTACAGTGGTGCCTCGTATAACATACTTAATTCGTTCCAGGTGCATGTCCATTAAGTGAAAAGTCCATTATACGAAACACATTTTCCCATAGATATACATGTTAAAACATAATTCGTTCCATAGCATAAAATAACCGTACCATAAAAAAAATGAAAATGGAGCAGTCACCAATTATGCCTGGTAGTGAGATGTTGTGAGGTGGTGGAGGAACATTTTTTCATATATTCATACAGATACAGACTTTTTACACATTGCAGCAGGTCTCTTTTTATTGTTTTTTAACTGGAGTCAGATTTAGAAGAAGCTACCAGAGCTTGCAGGGTCAACTCCTCTTGTTCCATCCTTTGTTTTCTTACAGCTGGCTTCTTGAACACATGTCCAAGGTGGTCTGTTTCTCTCTCTTCTTCAACACTTGTTGGAAATGACGAGCAAGGGTGTCATTGTATAGATCATTGATCCTGTTGGCCTCAGCTCTGTTTAGATAATGAGTGTTGGTAAACTTCTGAACCTCTCCCCATTCGACAAGGAAGTTTTTGTCAATTTTCACTCCTTCTGATGATTTCTTGCTTTGTTTCAATTGAAGTCATCTTTCTGTTTTTTTAGAAGCCGTGATTTGCAGAACACTTAAATAAATGTAAATACCCCCCCTGCACTGAGGTGATGTACTGTATGTAATAAACAAGAGAGCAAGCCGAATCCCAACGGGAGCTCTGTACTTCAGATATACTAATAATATATTCTAATAATACTAATATATTATAAAAATAGCAGATTGTCATTGGCAACGGCAAACGAGTGGAAACATCATTTGCACTTGTTCGCAGAAAGTTCGTTGCTCGAGTCACGTAACGGCCAAACAGAAAGTCCGTTGCTCGAGTCACGTAACGGCCAAACAGAAAGTCCGTTGCTCGAGTCACGTAACGGCCAAACAGAAAGTCCGTTGTTCGCAGCGTCCGTTATTCGAGGCATAACTGTATATAGTTTTGCACAGAAGTCATAAACAATGTTGTAAAAAAAATTAAAATGCTATTTAAAATTATTGCAATATAAGAAAAAAACAATATATAGATCTAAACTCAAAACTGAAATCATCTTAGAAACAAAACAGTAAAGGAAACTTTTGATGGTCATCTTTCAAATAAAAAAGTCTACAATTAAACATAATAATTTGAGTTAAATCTATCAACAAATCAGATTTTCTGTAAAAAAATATTCTTCTCGGAATAAATATATAATGTATTAAAATTGAATTCTGACATAGAAAACTACAGCTATCAATAAAGCCTCTAGTTATATTACCATAATATAATGCAATGAAAATTTTTATTTAATGCTTCATTTCCAACTGACTCCAGAACCCAATTAACTTACCCAGAATGATATTAAGAATAAAGGTGGAAAGTATGATGTTAAGACACCTCATCTGTTTAGTACATAGACTGAGAAAGTGGCAGATCTATCCCATAACATATCAAATATTTTTGAAGTATTATCTTTTGAAAATTTATCACCACACATTTTATTACATTTATAAAGTTTATATTGTGATATATAGCTGATGATTAATAATCATCATGATATATACATCAGATAAAAACTCAATCATCTCTTTCTCTTT